CTTCATAAGCCCCGCCTATGACCTCTTTGTGAATGCTCTCTAATGTTTCCTTCTCGTAGGTGATTTGTTGATTCTGTAGAAAGCTCAGTATTGGCACTCCGCCCACGCTTATGCTTGACCATAGCGCCACCGAGCTGTCGCCGTGCTCTCCCACTATGTATGCCTTCAAACAAATATAGCTATGTTCACGAGACCTTACCATCTAAAATTACACGTGAGCACTCTATTTAAGGCGTTTGAAACATTATGAGAAAAAACTGAGTTAAGACCAATTGTTTTATGCAGAATGTTCGTATTCGATGAAATTGACCCTACATTTTCAATAGATAACAGTCCCGAGCCATTTTTTGTAGGAGTACTATTGACGATGTTAAGGATATTTAGTAATAAATTATAGTTTACCATATATATTATATTTGATATTTTATTATAAGGCAAATATCTAACATTTGCCTTATTACTATAGATATCTTTCCATTTATTGTTATTTCCATTTATTACTATTTCCATATCCTTGTAATTTATTTGATTATAAATAAGATAACTTTCACACCATTTAGGTGTGGTGGATTCAGCAAACATTCACAGACGACATTCTTCATTTTTCAGACGAGCTCCCATTAAGACGTTCAAACATACTTTTTTCTCGTTTTTATCTCTTACTATGCTCACTAGAGGATATAGTAAGATCAAAATGAGACCAAAAAAAACACCTATAACCATCTAACTTTAAAAAGTGCCAAATGGATCTCTAAACTTTCCCTATCTAACAAAATTCAAAGATGTATAGGACTTTGAAAGCCTTAGAAGTCAAATATCCATTAAATATTATTTAAAGTATAGTATATTGTTAATTATTGTGGTTTAGTTGCCAGAAATTAGGAAATTATCTTCCAAATTTCAGGGAAGCTTATTCTAAGCCACATTTGATATCAATCAATAAAAAACGATAAAATCGAAAAGTTCCAAACCCTAAGTTGAAAGTTTTTCAGCAACAGCAAATTAACAAGAAGCACTAATCGATTAAAGAAGGTAGAAGAAATGTCGATCGGAAAACTGACCTGAACATCCTGAGCGTTGACGTCGAGATGATCAGCGATGAGAAACCGAAACCTAGACGAATCCAGATTCGTTCCCGATCCAATCACTCGATTCGACGGAAAACCAGAGAGCTTCCAAGCAACATAAGTCAAAACATCCACCGGATTCGAAACGATCAGCAGAATCGTCTCGGGAGAGTACTGAACAAGCGGCGGCACGATCTTCTGAAACAGAGCAACATTCCTCTGCAGCAGATTCAACCTAGATTCACCAGCGATCTGGCGAGCACCAGCAGTGACGATGCAAAGATCGGACTCGGCAGTAACAGAGTAATCGGTAGAGGCGCTGATTTTAGTGCGTGGAAGGAAAGCAGCGGCGTGTTGGAGATCGAGCATTTCGCCTCGGAGTTTGTCAGGCTTGGCGTCGACAAGGACGAGTTCATCGGCAAGATCTTGAGTGAGGATGGTCTGAGCAATGGCCATGCCGACATTTCCAGCGCCGATGACGGAGATTTTGGTGTTGCGCTTAGAGGTAGACGGCGGAGAGGCGTCGCTTACAGGCTTGAAGAAAGCCTGCGAAATGTCAAGGCCGCCTGGACCTAAGGAAGATGCTGATGAACTCTTCTCCATTGTGAAACGTTTCGGAGATTGTGATTGGCGGTGATGTTTTTCACAGAGAACTTTACGGATTTTAAAGAGACGATTGGGTTAGAGGGAAGAACACGAAGAAGAAAGTTAGGAAAGTAAGAACAGTTTTCAGAGATTTTTCAACGATCAATATTCTTTGATTATTTTATTTGGCCGATGGTGGGTCCCACCACTTCCTATTTTTAGAACAATTTTTTTCATTCCAAAAGATGGGGGAGAGAGATTAAAACCACAACTTTTTTTTTTCAATTTTTTAATTTTTAGTTTTTAAAATATTTTTTAAATATTTAAATAAATTTTATTTTTAAAGATGATGCGTGACCGGTGAAAGTAGACGTGCCCTCGGCCAGAAGGCTCCGGGCACAACTTGCGTTCAAAGACTCGGTGGTTCGCGGAATCCTGCAAATCACACCCAATAGGAACAAATGCTCCCCTGACACAAAAAGTTTGTAAACACGTTCACAAGTCGTTTGATGTTTAGGCATCGACAATGATCCTTCCGCAGGTTCACCTACGGAAACCTTGTTACAACTTCTCCTTCCGCTAAATGATAAGGTTCAGTGGACTTCTCGCGACGTAGCAAGCAGCAAATCGCCCACATCGCCACGATCCAAACACTTCATCGGACCATTCAATCAGTAGGAGCGAGGGGGGGTGTGTACAAAAGACAGGGACGTAGTCAACGCGAGCTGATGACTCGCACTTACTGGGAATTCCTCGTTAAAGACCTTTGAGCATAAACTCTCGTGACTTTACTTTGAACTTCTCCAAAAGGTAAAATCCAACAAGTTCTAATTAATTTATTTAGGCGATTGACAGAAAAAAAATGTTTAGGGTCTTAAATGGAGTGTTAGGTATTCATTGGCGAAAAAAAAGGATACGTGTAAGACACCTACTCCTCTTGAAATGTTTGAATTTTA